AAAGCTTCCCGCAAATGCTGTTTATTTGGCACAAAACTCGACATCTTTATTGTTAGAAAAAATATTTTTGCGTTGCAATATGTGTTGGTATTATGACTGGTTATTGTTGACAGATGTCCAAGTTAATAAAAAAACACAACTTTAGACATGTATATCGACTACATGTATCGTTAGCGCCATTCATGTGTGAAACCCGGAAACTTAGTTGCGCACCTAGTAAAAGTGGAGCCTCTTCTCCATTGGTCTCGCATTCCGCCTCCAGCTCCACCACGCCACTCGCTTGTAGACCCGCGCCATCCGCGTCTAGATCTGCCTCGCCATCCGCTTCCAGATCCGCGGTTCTGGCCTCCATAGTGGCCACGCCACTTGTCTGTCCATGGGCCCATCCACCCACCTCTCTACCCTCCTCTTCCGGTTTCCTCCGTTTCCTCTTCCTCCACGTGCGTTTCTAAATCTAAACCAAACAAAGAAAATAAATAATACATTAAGTCATACATTCATCATCCCGTGTGGATAATTAAAGTCATCAGCGTCCTGTAACTATCTAATTATTTAGAGTTTCAACTCATCACTGTCTAGTTTTATTAGCTAATAGTCAAATAGAATTGTAATGCTTTTACATGTGAGTGATGATGTGGCAAGCATTAACTAATTATTAGTTAAAAAAAAAGTGTCGTTTCTATACAGAATTTATAGATAATACCTAGTTAATAATATAATGCTGTTACATCCAAGTCATGATACAAAAAGTACATATATGTACTAGCTAATATTATTATCTCACAGCTAGATAACTGAAGTAAGCTTGTGGCTGGCTAGTAAAAATTATTTAAAGAGAAGGTAAAAAGAAATTGATCTGCTCGAATTCTTGCATTTTTATAGGTGAATTTATTGCATTTAACTAACATGATTCTTTTAATTTTATTTCACTGGTATTTTTCCTTGCTGTAAATTTTTTTTTATTAGTCTATATTGATTAATATATATTATTTTATTCCTTTATCTTTTTAATCGTTGAAAATATCCGTAGTACATCTGTATTCAATCCTGAGATCTTTGCATTACGAATTGTGCACGTTGTTCACCAAGCCAAGCTCGAATTGATATTATCAGTAAATTCAGTAAATTCGTTATATAAAAATTTCTTTTATCAATAAGGTAACAAATAATGTGCTATACTTTCTATTGTTTCAATAAGCTTGGGACACCTCCTGTTTTTCTGTGTAAACGTGTGATTGTTGTGTAAACAGTAAAAAGTTTATTGTGCACATTAATAAAAATAATTAATAATTATTTATTAATAAGTACCGTGATCAAAAGCGCAACAATAATTGAAGGTATGTTGTGTCCAATGTTCAATATACATTTATTTTTTAGTAATATACATATATATGTATATAGAATTTTATTATTAATTCTCATTGCATGTTATTCTAATTAATAAACAATCAATATTTGAAACCTTGTTTTAGATGATGACTTTAAAAAGAAAAAAGTCATATCAAATTGTGCAATTTAACGTCGATAATGCTATTGACTGTGTGCCATTAATTTGGATATTGTTAGATTCTCAAAGTCTTCAGCTTGTCACAAAATTTATACCACCGCCTTATACTAAAAATGCTTGTAAAGATTTTCACAAATTAGTTGAAGCTGCAAGATATCCGGAAGAGAGCTGGCCTACTTATGATATTACTTTAATTGACAAAGCAAGTATAAATTTTATTTGAACAATTTTTATATTAATTGTTGATTTCATCAGATATAATAATTATTTTTAATTATTTTAACAGACAGTTACACTGAAGCGTTAAGAAAAATTAAAAATTTAAAACAATAAATATGTATATACAACAGATTGTGAAAATTTAAATAATGAAGTATCTAAATTGCCACTAAAAAAACCTACAGTCAATACAACAGTGATTGGTATAGATGGAAAAAAGAGAAAAAGGAAAGATTCTACTTCAGATACAGGTATATAACACACACATACACACACACACGCGCGCGCGCACGCACACTGAGAGAGAGAAAGAGTGAGAGAAAGTGAGGGGGGGGGGGCATTGTGTATTGAAAAATGTCTTTTATTTAATTTTAATATTTTGATGATTAAAAATTTCTGACACATGTTGTGATTTTAGAATCAGATGGTAGTGATAGAATAGAACAGTATTCTTCAGAAAAGACTCCTTATATAAAAATACAGTGTTCTTCAAATAATAAAAATATGAAGAGTAAACCTGTAGTCGTAAGCAATGTTCTACTGTCAAAAAAATTTGATTCAAACTGCTAATTCTAATGAAGAGTGTGTGAAATTAAAACCAATTGACCAGTCGAGTAATGTACAGATTCCTATGGATTTATACAATACCTTGTTGAATTGTGAGTAGGAGCTGTATTGCAGTGTAACATAGTTATGATATAACACATCATTACTCTCCACTATATTATATTCTTATTTTTATTCGTTTTTTTCTCTTAGATTTACAATCTATTGTGGGAGAAACAGAAAAAATAAAGAATGAACAGCTTTTAATACGTAATGAAATACGTAAGCTTAGCAATATGCTTGATCGATACATTACTCGAGAGAATTCAATGGATAGTCCAATGCATTGGATGGATCAACATGAAATAGAATTGCCTTTGAGATCAGTAAAGAAGTATAAACAGTTATGTTTATTACTGGAAGATAAAAATATTAAAAACCAATGCGTAAGAAATTTTTCCCTCATTTATTATTGTAATTTTTTAGTTTTTTTTCTTATTATTAAACATTAAATATTTTTTTTTTAGATAATAATTATGGATAGCGTAATAGATGTTAATACAACTATATCTAAAAATGTATTAGCAGTAATACGAAAATTTTTTTATCGGGATCTGGCCATGAAATACACTTGTGTTAAAAAAATTGAAAATAAAAAAACATTAAAACCATCACAATTTTATAATTGTATCAAGGGTAAAATTTTATTACTAAATATCACAATTAATCTTTTTATGTTTATTCATTAACGATTATCAATTCTAGATCTCTTTTTGGCTAAAAGTTGCGACGACTTTTCCTTCTCGTTAGAAGCACACAATCCGGAAGACGTGCAAAACCTCGTTGCTCTCTTTATTCTACATTAACCACACGGCAATACTTAGAATTGGGCGCCAGGCGCGGATTGACGCGCCGCACAAATAAATAAGTTAGAACAAGTATATCGTTAATAACGAGCAACGGCGATAAGCGCGACTAGCCCGCTCACACCAAATGGCAGAGGGGCGCGGTTCTTTAGAGATGCAAACAAAACTTGGAGAGAGGAGTCTGAAACAAGGCTATTATAGAAAACACATTAAACCGTATAACAAATAACAAGTATATTTAGAACAATGGTATTATAAAGGATGACACAAGGTGTTGTGTGTATTGGAAGGATTCGCTCTGCATAGATACAACCCGTACCGGTGAGAGAGAACTTATTATTTTACGGATGTTCGGTTCGCGTACTATTTTCTCACTCGGTATACAAAGCTTGGTCTAATCTTGCGGTGATCATTGAGTACAGTCATTACGACTTATCCTACTTCGCTCTTTCTCGATATCGTTAATAACGTACAGCATTGGTCCTCTTGACCTCGCTATTAAAAGTTCTCGATTAACGCTCTCGGCAGAAGGCCGAGGCGAGCTCTCAAATAATACGGCGACAAAAGACGTGACATAATTACATTCACCGGACACAAATGCGCGGTACGCAGGACAACAATTATAGACGCGAAAATACTATTTCAACATGACGAAACGCGAAATGGCGACTGTCGGCTCGGCAGCCCCGAAGGGAAGAGTGTGGCGGAATCTAATTCTATATAGCGGTAACCAGTGGGGCCCGGCCGTAATCTAACCTCCTACGGTATTGCGAGAGGTCTCAATACATACGACATTTCTCAAGTACATTACGCGAGATGCTATTTCCGCGAGGCTCGGGCCACTTGCTGGTACCGCTCTTATCGCGAAGTCGAAGTGGTGGCCTTACAAAATCGTCGATACGCCCGTTGTGGTCCTCGAGGTTCCGCTCAGGTTGCCGACTCGCCGAACAGTGACGACAGTGAGGCCCGCCGGACATCGGTGACAATCCGCGCATCGTATTGCGCACGTAGATCCTGCGGTATCGATGATTTGTTACTCGATCCTTCCTGACGCTCCTCGATAGTTTGGCCCTCTGTGGCGCTTTTCCGTGGCGACCCCGGTCTTATTTGTGGTAGCTGTCTCGAACGTCCTTCGCGGCCTTTTCCATTTCGGATCCGGACCGTTTTTTGAATCGGCCGTGAACTGACCAGGTTCCGACCTGATTCTTCTCTCCCGGCTCGTTACGGCAGCTCCGTTTACTGTGGTACTTCATCCCGGGCTTTCGGGAGTGCGAGAGCTCTCTTTCCCTTCGGGCGTCAATCCTCTCGGTGCGTCCACTGGCTCTGATCCGTTTCAAGTCTGAAACGTTATTCTCGGTAGCGACATATTCTGTGGATCTTATTGAACTTGATGGAATATTCGTACGTGACCTTATGGATCTGTCCATGCGATGCCCGGGCCTCCGTCGTTCTGCCTGCAGAGTCCCACGAAGGCTGCTTCTCGTCATTCACACAACATTGGTTTCTGGCCACTCACTCCGCTCCGCGAAATCGCTAAAGTATACACAAAAAGGGAGAGGTCGTCGCCCCCCGCGGTGGGGTCCACGACCTTAGTTTTTCCCCCCTCGACCGGGCCTATGCGCCCTTGTGACGGACATCAAAATGTCACGTCACAAAGTCGTAATGGCAAAATTCGTGAATCGAATTTATGTGAGAAAGTCTGTGACAAGATCCTTGGTCCTATTCTTACAAACTCAAAAGACTGGAATAAAGGACGATTCCTCGATGAAGATACGAAGGAAAATGACACATATACAGAAAATGCTGAGACAGATGATTTGGAAAATGTGGGATAATCAAACGCTAATATATAATATCTGCCGTGCATTAAAAAAACAATATATTTGTAATAGTTAGTAATGTTTTTTTTTTTAACAATTGATATATTTAGTTTATACATTTATAATTTGCGTGGAATTAGTTATGACATAAATGAGATTGAAGTTTTATGATAAATGTGATTATATTAATGAATAAGAGGCATTATATAAATTTTTTTGTATTTCAAATTTTTTTTCTCATATGGTATACGCATCAGAATCATTTTTTGGAGTATATGTTGTAATTTAAATTGAATAATGTTTGATGACACTTTCATGTTTAATTGCCACATATGTAAATGTGTAGAATTAGTGGGATAATAAAAAATCGGTTTTTTAGGTATCCATTTCAAACCAGTAAGCTGCATTTCATCTTCATTTTTACTCTCGTATCCTAAATTTGTTAATTTCACAATAGTACCATCATTCAACATTATTATATCATTTGGTTGCTCCGTAGTCAAAACAATATTTTTATACCTTAATTTAATTATCATACATTTATTATTATTTGTTTTCCTTAAATTTATAATTTCAAACTGTTTGGGAATGACTGGTTTATTAATGATGTAATTTTGCTCATACACTCGCCGACAAATCTGAGCAAGTGGTTTACTTGCAGTGCGTAATGTTTGTTTTATTAATCTTAGTTTACTTTCGAATGGAAATGCCGAAATATTATTTAAAGTATACTTATTATTTTTAACATCATCTGCCAGGTGAAGGAGATAATGTGTATTAAGAGCTTGCGATTCTTTTCCATAGTATTGTGGTAGAAGTAAAAAAAACGTTTTCAGATAGGAGCTTGCAAGTTCATTAAATGTTTGAGCTAAATCTTTGGTACATAATATTCGGAAAGCCGTGTGAAAAAGTAAAAAATAATCATATAATTTTGAATTCAATATTCTCTTAAATAAGACAGGACCTGCATATAGTGCGATAAAACGGAGCTCTGATGCTTTTAAGTTAGGCACTGGAATACGAATTTTTCTCTGAAATTTGTCAGGAATACAAAGTTTTAAATATAATATTCTTTCAAATAATTTTGTCTGACTTTGTGTGTTGAGTTTTACTGAGCTTTTGTTAAATATTAAATTTAATATATATAATTTTTTAGTTACACCTAAGCAGCAAGACGCATGTAATCTAAAGTAAAACTAGTAATCATATTAATTGATGGTTGAATACGTAATAGTGGAGAAAATCCGGTATGATGCTCTTTCTGCTGTTGCATTCGAAACGATTCGTTGGATCGCTTATTACAATCTGTGTCAGGATAAATAACACGTCTTGAATTCTTTCTGTTGTGACAGATCTTCCATATACTTCACATCTTTCACAAGCTGCAAAACCTCCATAACCTTTTATTTGCTTCAAAAATTTTCGAGCTGGAATATCACATATAATGTGTTCTAGAGCCACTGAAAAATGTTTATTCGTAATATCAATTCCATCTCGGTGCAAAATATTTATTTCTTTAATAAAATCATCCATGAACTCATTGATATCATGAGGTTTCGAATTTTCATAACATAGAGCGACAATGAACGGTTGATATATATCTGGTTCAAAAATAATTTTGCACAAAATTGGCCACAACTGTTTACTACCAGAGTCATATGGAGACGCACCATCAACGTTTACTTGCAAATGTATAGTATTAGACATATGGACATCGGCATTAATGTAACTCGCAAGACGTTGTTTAAGTCCCAAGTAAACAAACTCCCCAACTGTATTATCTGCTGCATGCATAGGTCGTATATTATATAATGCTTTATTAGTTTCTAAAAATGTTTTTCCTTTTTTTGGTAGTTGCGGTAAAAGTCTTTTTCGCAGAATATTTAATAACATATCTATATGTTTTATTGGAATATTACACGTCACTGTCCAAGCACGTATTTCAGCAATTTCTGGAGCTTTACTTTCATTTCCAATTACGTTGCGGATTTCTTCAATATCATCATTTACATTTTCCTTATTGTCTATTTTTTCTTCAATACCATCGCAATCATAATTTTCAATGACTTTATCATTACCGTCATCGTTATCAATTGTCGTCTCATATATTTCATGATATTCTCTCACTTCATGATCAGGTGCAATTTTATCCACATTACTGATTATTTCATTATTTATTGCTTCATGAAGCATAGGATATTCCTATGCTTAATTGTTCTATGTATAATAATAAATAATAATATTGTAACGGGGGGGCGTTCCTCTTTCGAAGCACCGCCCGCGGCACCCAGACATTGTCCATTGTGCCTCCCCTCATAAACTTACTTAACAGACCTGTTTTTCTCCAAAAGAGAATCAGATCCCTCACCGGCAGCTCCCTGATCTGCTCGGGCCCAAGTAGTGCTGAGCCCAGCATCCTGTGTCTCAACCCTGTATGTGCAGGACAGTCTCCGAGTACATGAAGGCTTGTGCCATGATCCGTCAGTATGTGTACCGCTGTTCTGGCATCTTTCCTACTCAGAGCCCTTATGCTCCAAGTCAGTTCCCTATTAGGAGTATCTCCCATCAGAGCTCTAGCCTGTCTGCATTTGGACTCAGATTCCACTCTCCAGTGTCTTAGATGTTCTCTGCGGAGCCATTCTTTGATCCTCCCTTTTCCTAAACAAAAGGGGATTCCCAGGGCCGGCCCCGGTCCTACCATCGTTAATTCTGAACCCGCTTTTGCCAGCTGGTCCGCACATTCATTACCCTGGATGCCCGAGTGACCCGGCACCCAGGTAACGGTAACTTCTCTCTCTCTCGCCAGTTCGTTCAGAACGCACCTGCACTCCCGAACCAACCACGACGTTATTGTCGGAGCCCCCAGCGCCTTGATGGCTGCCTGGCTGTCCGTACAAATTCTGATGTGCTCTCCCTCTTCTACCCTACTCCGTACGGTCTAAGCACAGCTTAGGATAGCCACAATCTCCGCTTGGAATACCGTGGCATAACTGTCGAGAGAAATGCTCTCCTTCCATCCCTCTCGACTGCCAAAGAAGCCGGCCCTGGAGCCCGTGTCCGTCTTGGAGCATTCAGACATTTCCTCCACGCACTCGAGCCCCTAAGTTTCCACCTTCCTTTTCCCACTCCTCCGGCCTCGGTATATGCACTTTGAAGCGCCTATCAGAAACTCGAATAATAGGTATTCTGTCCTGTCGCATCTCGAATATCGGATCCAGCAGAACGTCTTCCGGCAGCCTCGTATGCCGGGCTCCCTTCTTCCATTTAAGTTCGCATCTCAGACGGTATGCCGCCATTGCTGCAGCAGCCACCACCACCTGATGAAATGGTTCGATGCCGAACATTACGCCCATCGCCGCCACTGGTGTCGTAACCATAGCACCCAGGGCCCTTCTCAAAATCAGAGCCCTGACATGCTCCAGCGCAACTTTGGCTGTTTTCTTTTGCACCCTAGTCCACCATACTACGGCTGCGTATGTGAGTCTGGGGCAAAGTATGGCTGTGTAGATCCAGTGTATCATACTCGGTTTCAAGCCCCAAGTCTGGCCAAAGGTCCTTCTACACGTCCAAAAATACTGGCACAAGCTTTTGCACCGATTACGAAGGTGCTCCTCCCAAAGCAGTTTCTTATCCAGAATAACTCCCAAATATTTCACCGATTCGGTCGGAACTAATCTTACTCCTCCAAGAGTGGGTCCCACAATGGTGCCCACCTTGTATTTGCGAGTGAAGACAGTAAGACCGGTTTTCAGTGGATTCACCGCTAAACCTGTCCTCTGACACCACTCTTCTACAACTTCCAGTGCCCCGTGCATGAGCTCTAGAAGCGTCTCTAGGAACGGGCCTCGCACAAGTATTGCCACGTCATCCGCGTAGCCTTGTGTAGTGAAGCCTCTATCGTCTAGTGCCCTTAATAAACCGTCTGCTACCAGGCACCATAAAAGTGGTGAAAGTACTCCGCCCTGCGGGCAGCCTCTTCCCACCCACCCACAGATTTTCGCAGTTCCCAGCAAAGTCATCACACGCCTCCCTAGCATGCCACGGATCCACTCGACGAGCTTTATCGGGACACCCTTTCTGGCGGCTTCCTCACACACTACCTCGTGCGGTGTGTTGTTAAAGGCGCCCTTTATGTCCAAGAAAGCACCCACCGCGTAGCCCCTTCTTTCCAGCTGCTCCTCAATAAACGCTACCGTCTGATGTAGAGCAGTCTCGGTGAAATAGCCCCAACGATACGCGTGCTGATTCTTGTGGAGAGGGTGACTCCACAGAGTTGTCTCCCTCAGATACGCGTCCACCAGCTTCTCCAATGTCTTAAGGAGAAACGATGTTAGGCTAATTGGCCTGAAATCCTTTGCCTTGGTGTAGCTCGTTCTTCTCGCCTTCGGAATGAAAACTACCCTGGCCAGTTTCCATGCGCTGGGTGTGTAGCCCATCGCGATAAAGGCCCTTAAGGTTCGGGTCAGTGGGCCCACGATCTGTTCCAGTCCCTCTTGTAGAAGAGCCGGAAAGATACCATCTGGTCCCGCTGACTTTTTAGGGCTTAAAGGTGTTAATTGCCCACTTGACCTTCTCGGGCATGACAATTTTGGCCGCCATTCGCCAGTCCGCTTGTCGGGCTCTTCTGAGTGAGCCCGGCTCCTTATATGCAAATAGCTCTTCCTGCTCCCTATGGAAGCCCGGAAAACTCACTTCCAGTAGATGTTCCAGACATCGCTCTCCAGTCACCACCGTCCCATCAGGGAGTGTGATGGCTTCCAGAGTCGCATCCGGGTTCCTAGCGAGGATCCTGCAGATTCTTGCCGTTTCAGGCATTCCCTCTACTTCCTCGCAAAACTTCCTGCAGCTCTCCAGTTTCGCCCTAACCACAGAGTCTCTATAATCCTTCTGTGCCCTCCTAGAGAGCTCCCAGTCGGATTGGCGGCCCGTGTTCCTAGCTCTGTTCCAGGCCCTACGAGCCGCCACTCTGAAACCCTGCAGTCCAGGGGTCCACCAGGAAGTTCCTCTACTATTTGTAACCGCCCTTTCGGGGCAGTTACTTTTGTAGCAGTTTACCAGAGACCTCTGCAAGTAGTCCATACAGGTCTCCAGTTCGTCCTCTGTCCCGTGCCTTTTAGGGAAGCCTTTGAGACTATTGGCCAGGTCTTCCCTATAGGAGTCCCACTTGGTTTTCCTCGGATTCCTGAATTTGACCTCCTTCCCCCTAGCCTTAGCTATCCTGAAGGAGATCTGCCTATGGTCAGAGAGCGAAGGCTCCGTCGAGACCCTCCACTCCACTACCTTTTGTATCAACTGCTTGGAACAGACAGTGATGTCGAGCACTTCTCTTCTCGCTATAGTGCAGAAGGTGGGCTCGTCTCCTGTGTTGAGAATCTCCAGATCCGTAGATGCTAAAAACTCCAACACTTTCCTCCCTCTATCATTGGTGTCCGAGCTTCCCCACACGGTGTGATGCGCGTTAGCGTCACATCTCATGATCAAGGGGAAGCCGTTTTCCTGGCAGTATTCTGCCAGTTTTATCACCGGTACAGGCGGCACCGCCTTCCCCTCGTCATGAGAGAAGTAGGCCGAGCAAATAACCATTTTCTTTCTGTCACCGGAGTCATCAGTGAAATTCACTTCTACAGCCGCAACGTCCCTGGAACACAGGTGAGGTATCAGCTGGGCTTCCATGCCCTTGACGGCCACGCAGGCCCTGGGCCGGTCCACTGATGGAGCCCTAAAGAGCCTACCGCAGGCCGCCAAACCCCTGATGCAACCTCGGATTACCCAGGGTTCTTGCATCAGTGATATGCATGTTTGTCTCCCAGCTTGTTGCCTGGCCAAAACAGCCGAGGCCCCTTTGCTGTGATGCAGATTAACCTGGGTGAAGGCTATCCCTCTCGATCCCGCCATTTGGCTGCGAGACCGTTTTAGGGGGGTCCTCCTTATCCCCCTTTACCCCCCCCTGGGCTCCACTTACCCGAAAGACAACCCTGTCGAGCCCAAAGAATGGTCTGAAGTCCAGTCTTCAATTTGAGGACACTGGACCCCGGGACCCCGAGGACCAGGTTCCCACCCTCCCTGGTGGTCCCTACCCCCTCCGCAAACACTTTCCAGCTCCCGGTGATGAGCCCCGGGTTCTGCTTCTCCAGCCGCTTCAGGACCCGTGGCCGCGCCTGGGAAGTCCCGGGGACCCAAACCACCGCTCTGTGCTGCTTTTGAAGCGCGTCCAAGCCCATCACCCTGAGCCTGGCGCCCTCCCACGGAGTGATGCCGCCGATCCGCCCCACGAGCCAATCCAGCGACGCCCCATCCGCGCATCTTACCACCGCCGCACCACTCCTTAGAGAAGTGCCGTGGAATCTGGACACCGGACCCTCCTGGATCCCGTCGATCTTCTCCAAGACCGCATCCCTCAACAGAGTCAACTGCTCAACAGTGATCCCTGTCTCGGGGTAGCCCTCCGCCACAATCACCCTCGCCAGAGGGTCAGCAGCGTCCGAGTAAGCATGTTGCCCGTCGCGAGTCCTTTGCTTTTTCAGCGGACGGTCGCCCGATGGAGGGGTATCCTTGAAACCCTTCCGACGTTTACCGTCGGCGTGCCTCTTCACCACTTCCACCGGCGTACAGGGGGAAGCCACGGGAAGAGAGCGAGCCCCTTCCAGAGTCGCTGCTCTCATCCGCTTCGCCCTCCTTCTTTCGGCCCCGCACCGATTCTTCCTCGCTGGAGGTGAAACCTCCTGCCGCGCAGCCGGGCCGGCCTCACTTCCGGAGCCCTTAAGGGTCCCGTCCGTCACCGTTCTAGCTCCTTCCTTCGGAGACCCGTCACGCGAGCCCTTCTGACTTCCCACTTCGTTCTCTACGTTTGATTTTATATTCGAATCCATAGTGGTCCCACGAGTAGCTAGGGAACTACACGGTGCCTCTGGGGAACCGGGCGAAACCCCAGAGGCATCGTTCGCGACACTGCCTCCCCAGTGACATGCAGCCATCGCCACGATGGCTTACACTTGGCTTGGGGAGCGTGGTCCGCGGCAACGGTCTTCCCTTACCC